GAGCCTAAACAGCAGACTAGCCAGGGCATATGACGCCGGATTTTTGCAAAGGCAACTAATCATATTTCTCTTTTCAAGCGGGTCTGCCTCCATAAGGTATTGTGATGTTCCGAATTGTCTAATTGACTGTTGTCATTTATTTGCTACGGTTTTTGAGCTGGGAGCTTCGGCGAACATTAAGCTGAATTTCTAGCCCAAGGCGACTATCGGATGCAAGGCACAGTACTATGGCTTCTGGTAAATGAACTCTGTTCATTTGCATATGCAAAGAAAGAACAAATAAATGTATTACCGTTAAAACAGAAATTGCGGTGATCAATCAGCACAGACAAACGGACTGTGCATAACTTATGATTGATGGCGCCCAGGACGATTATTACGTTTCTTCTGCACCGCAAAGACTCGGCCTAAAATTCTCTTCCTTTTGGATTTTCAATGTGTTCGATATGCACATTGCATCATTGACATCAGTCCTCGTGACTAAATCGCTACTACCTTGCCTACTCAATGATAAAGCGAACTCAACTTTCAGACGCTCTGCATAATAAGTACTTTTTGTCGATTTTGGCTTGCGCCAGATGTTAGGGCTCACTGAATACATGGCATCTGCACGGATTGGATGTCGGCCTGTGAAGCGCGCCGAATTTGCGATATATCGAGATCGTTGACTACACCTCCTGGCAAGAAACAGCGGGCTAAGGAGCGACCATCTTTCACGCATCCATCATATTTTTATGCCAGCGCATGGAGATGCAAAGGCGGCGCTGAGGGTGTGTTATATGTAGCGATTTTCTTGAACAGACGATTCGTCACATGCTAGAATGCATGCACACAAGTGATTTATGGTGACAAGATTATATCGGATCAGAGTAGAGTGAATATTCAACGTAGATATTGACGGATTCGAATTTTTTAAAGAATAGAATCATTGCTTGGACGAGACATCGATCATCGACGTTGCCGTGCTCTGCTCAACTTGAGTAAGACACATCGCAGTCTCTACCAGTTCATAAAATCATATGATCAGCAACATCTTCTGCATTGTCTGCATCAAGGCAGAGACAGCATGCGAAACTCCGTGCGATGAGGCGCCTCGTTCAACGTGAAGGTAAACTGGACTGTAAAGGCGATGGACCA